TCCCTACACCACTTTTTCCCCTAGCGGAAGCCGAGTTTGCTCATGCGGGTACGTACAGGTAAGTGACTACTTCGTGTATTCCTTCATACAAGAGTGTCTCAAAAATGTTGTAACTCCTTAAAAGTGGTGGTCCCTGGAATGATTTGAAACAATTTTTTCGTTAACAAAACAAATAGTTTCGAACCACTCCAAAGATCACCCCTTTCAAGAATTTACACCTATTTCGGGACACCCTGTATACTAAACGTCACGCATTTACTGTGACATAAACACAAGCTCGTTACAGATGTTTACATGGATCGTAACAAAAATCTGAAATAACACTCCGACGGGAAAACTGGCAGCGTTTTTTTTTTCTTCTTTTTTTTTTTTCTTTCGAGGATGACGGAGGTATACACGTCTACTGTTGCCTGGACACAAGAGTGGTAAACTCAGTGGAAAAAGAGCCAACTTACCGATCCGTAACGAACCGACAATTAGAGGCTTACAGGGAGAACCCGAGCGTGACTTAAGGTCCTCGTACCCTCCTCGTCCTTGGAGACGGCTCCTTGGAACGCACACGTCAACTGTAGGTACATCCATTGTTCACCTGGGAAGGAACAACTCGCCAGGCGAATAGAAATCCACATCGTCGAATTTGTGTATTCACCACGGGAGATTATACCGTTCACTGGGCCGACACTGTGATTCGTTCGTGTTCACGGGTTAAATAATAAATGTTTCTGGACGAATGATCGACCAGTTTAACCGCCCCCGCCAGCCAGTTACAGCGAGGACAAAAGAGAGTATTTGCATACTAGACTCTTGTTTAATAAATACACCTCGTGGCCAGACTCGTGGATTTTTATGCAAATTCAGAGTTTTATGGATTGATTTGTAGTTATGAAATTAACCCCTTAATACCTTTGATGTAAGAGGGAAAATTAAAAAAAAATTTGTGTATGCTGAATTATTGTTTATTCGAAATTCAACATATACACCTTATTATATGTTCTTTCCTTAGTAATTTCTGAAAAATTATCGATCAACAGAAGAAAATAGCTGCCATTTGAAAACGTTTTTCTTGAAATGCAGTTTTGAAAATTGGTACCAGAAATATTTAAAAGACTACTGAACTGGTTTGCATCAAACTTTGTGGTAATATTCTTAGGAAAACCCTGTATATATGTACAAAAATAGGAGTTTTTTTTTCGAAAACTAATGTCTGTTTATATAATAAAATATTGAAATAACAAACAGCACTTTTTTGACCGGTTTCCTAAATTTTAGCAGGCGCCTGAGAGAAAAAGTTAGACGTATTGTGTTGTGGAAATTCATATTTGCGAGAAATGCATCAAAATCGCAGTCTAATAATAAGAAACATTATTATTCGTGTAATTTTAGATTAGACTATCATAATCTAAGAATTTATATAATTATTTATAAAAGTATGACTAAGTTGTAGATATTTTGTTTTACTTATTGATAGGTGACACATCTAAGAATGCTCACTTAGAGTGAGATACTTCGTTAAGATTGGTTAGGTTCGATAAGATTAAACGAAATAAATACTGCGGTGAATTGGTCTATACTGATTTCATGTCAATTCTAAAATTCCAGTTCTGTTAATAAGTTTAGCAGGAAGTGGTTCGACAGTCATCAAAAAAAAGATACAAGACCGCAAGGCGATATGAATATGTTACATACATCGTTAATATCATAGACGTGGATTATAATTCATATTTCGTACGTAAGGACGATGAAAGATTTCAAGGAGACCCATTAATGTAAAGAAGGTCAATGGTAACACTATACACTGGCAAACAACATTGTACGTAAAGAATTATGCAAGAATCGAAGGAATACAGAGAACGAATCATGGTTTATTCAATTCTTCGTCTGTCGATGACAACTGCTTTACACATTCGAAAACCGAATTACAATTTTCAGCCATTTCAAAATCGTTAAACATAAGATCAAGAAGCTTTTAACTCTTCGATAAAAGAGTTACCATTCAGATAAATATACTTCGATTTAAACTCTTCTTTTCAACATACAACCTGTAATCGTTCAAATTCTGCGTATGAAAAACGACATTCACTCAGCAACAGCCTAATTTTGTTCTTATTCCAATTAATTTAAATCACACGACACCCCTGAATCGATTACGAAACATTCCGTGCACGATCTGAAACGTCGATTCATTCATTAATCGAATTGATCGCTGAAACCTTGACTCGCTGAATTTTCCAGTGCCGCGAACCACAAACTGTGTTTACGTTTGTTTCGATATCGATCCAGCCGCTATCCTTCGACAGGCCAACCAATCGACGGACAAAAGTCCCGTTTATCCTCGTGACAAGGGCGAGGTGCGAGATCCGTCAATAACCACGAACGGCACCGAAACCGACGTGTGTGTGCAAACCCTGCATCATCGTCTCTCTCCTAACATTCCGTGTCGGCCTATAAAAAGCTTAACATCGGATTACCCGCGAATGTCGCGACGATCGATACCCATGGAAATACGACATAGTATGTATACATATACGTCGTGAACCGAGGAAACCCGTGGAATGTTCCATCCGTGAACCAGACAGAGGTACTGGCTTTCGATCGATTTCTCGAATTAGATTCCAGGAACGGTTCCGCGCTCGGTAATCGCAACTCTGATTGAAGCTGGAATTTCTACGATGGACTGGGCGTACTACCAGTGATTGGACACGAAATGGTAGGTATTCTCAAGATGATGGTAGCCTGTCGAAAATGGTATCTCTGAAGAAAACGGTAATTCCGAAGAAAATGGTTCCTCCAAGGAGGAATCATTCATAGTAACTTCGAGAAAAATGGTTACTTCGAGGAAAATGGTACCTCCGAGGAAAATGGAACCTCCAAGGAAAATGGTACCTCCAAAGAAAATGTTAACTCTGAAGAAAGTGATATTCTGAGAAAATGGTACTCTGAAGAGTGTGGTATTCCGAAGAAACGGTAATTTCAAAGAAAATGGTACCTCCAAAGAAAATGTTAACTCTGAAGAAAATGGTATTCTGAAGAAAAGGTAATTTCGAAGAAAATGGTTCCTCCAAGGAAAATAGTAATTTCGAGAAAGATGGTAACTTTGAGGAAAATGGTACCTCCGAGGAAAATGGAACCTCCAAGGAAAATGGTAACTTCGAGGAAAATGGTAACTTCGAGGAAAATGGTACCTCCATAGAAAATGTTAACTCAGAAGAAAGTGATATTCTGAGAAAATGGTACTCTGAAGAGTGTGGTATTCCGAAGAAACG